GCTTCAAGTGGAAGAGCATGTATCTATTGAAATGTGAATCCTTGAGCTCAAAGCCCAGTACTTGGAGGGAAAACCCCAACACTTGCACATAGGCACAGAGGGAAGACAGTGTTAAAGACCTGTGAAAGTTATGTGGAGGTGGTAATGGGAAAACACAGGAGGCCATATGAAGGTGGAGGGAGGCAGAGACTGATGAGATGGTCATGAACCAAGCAATGTTGAAAGAGATAAGGAAGAATCCTGTTCAGAAGCACTGTGGTCCTACTGCACCGCCTCCAGACCCTTGAGACAATACTTTTCAATTGCTCCAAGCCACTTGATTTGTGATACCTTGTTACCATACCTTAGGGAACATTACTGATGAGATACATTCTGATACATAGCCCGCTTCTGTTTTTCTGGTGGTTAAAAAGAGTCTTATGGAGGGCTGGGAAGGTGACTCAGTGGTAGAGCGCCCTGGGTTCCATTCCTCAGCACCACATAAGCAAAAAGAAAAAAGCCAGAAGTGGCGCTGTGGCTCAAGTGGTAGAGCGCTAGCCTTGAGCTGAAGAGCTGAGGGACAGCGCCCAGGCCCAGAGTTCAAGCCCCACGACTGGATCTCCCCTCCCTCCCCCCCCCCCCCCCCCCCCCCGCAAAAAAGAGTCTTATGGACTTTCTTGCCTAGGCTGGCTTTGAACTGTGATCCTCAGCTCTCAGCCTCCTGAGTAGCTAGGATTACAGGTGTGAGCCACCAGTGCCCGGCTAGATTATTTTTTTTGAACTTAGTGATAAAAACATAAGAGTTGCCAGATACTATGGCTCATGTCTGTAATGTGACTCTAGCTATTTATGAGGCAGAGACTGGGAAGACTGATTCCAGGTAGCATGGGTTAAAAGTTTGCAAGATACACAACTCAACCAAAACCTGGACATGGCGATGCGTGCTTGTCCCCAGCTGCAGGGCCGCATAAATAGGAGGATTGCTATCTAGGCCAGCCCAGGTCCCTACCCTTCCCAAAGTCAAAAGCCAAAACCCAAGCCAGAAAAACAGGATACTCTCTTTGAAAAATGACTAAAGCAAACAGTTAAGGTGTGGCCTGAGGAGTAGAGTGCCTGTCTAGCAAGCATGAAGCCAAAGTTTGAACTCTGGTACTGCCAAGAAATCAAAACCAAACCAACCAGCCAACCAACCAACCAACAACAGCAACAACAAATTGACCTCAAACAAAAAGCAAAACAAAAAAGCATATGAAAGGAGGGGTATCAGTGATATCTTCATATGGGTGGTTTCTGTGTATCAGGTCTGTAAAGCCTTGCTCTACCTCTCATCCACTTTACATAGTTTTTGCCTTCATTTTGAATGCTAAGAACAAATGAAAGAATCTAGATTAGGTGGTAGCTCCTTCCCTATTTTAATATCAAGTCTAAGTAAGCGAATACCTTAACTATATAATTTATCATTCACTCACTATCCATATTGTGCCCCTGGGTGTCTAAGAAAATTGCAAGCTAGGCTTTAATCCCAGGCAGAGATTAGGTTCATTTATTGAGGCCAACATGGACATAAAAAATCCACGGGAGTCTATCTCAACCAGTGGCCGGATGTATACTTGTCATCCCAATTTCTGAGGATGCACAATCCCAAGTAAGAAAGGGAAGCATAAATAGGACCACAAGTCCAGGCTGGCCAGAACCTATCTCAGAAAGGACTGCTGGAGCAGCTCAGGTGGCAGGATTCCTTAGCAAGCATAAGGCCTGAGTTCAAACCCAATACTGCCAAACATGATTACATTTAAACCAAAACAAAAAATGAGACAGTGGTTGGGAGGTGGCAGCAATTCTCTCCTGTAGCCACAAGGGGGTGGCCTCACACAGCAGAAAGGCACTGTCCTGTGTGGATGGGTACTCACCCATCACTGATCGGGAATTTTTTGAAATAGAATAGAGTGGAAGGGTTTTGTTTTGTTTTGTCTGCCCTTCAGTTGAGGGTTTGAATTCAGTGCTTCATTTTTGTTCAGCTGGCATACTCTTCTGGTATGCCACATTACTATTTAAGCCTCATCTCTACCTCCCCCCCCCCCCTTTTTTTTAAGTTGTCATTTTACAAACTTTCTTTCTGGGCTGGCTTTGAACCATAATCCTCTACATCTCAGAAAGGATTACAGATGTGAGCCACAGATGCCTAGCTAGTTGGCCGTTTTTTTGGTTTTTCTCTGTGGAGTTTGAACTGAAACCCTGGACACTGTTCCTTAGATTTTTCACTCAAGGCATAGCTTCACTCCTGGCTTTTTGGTGGTTATTTAGAGATAAGTCTCATGGACTTTCCTGCCTGGTTTTGTTTTGAAACACAATCCTCAGCTATCAGGCTCCTGAACAGGTAGGATTATAGGTGTGAGCTGCTGGCTTTTTTCTCTTTTTAAAACACCATATTTACAATAAAATAAAATTAAAAATACCATATTTAACATATAATTTAAATACCACATTTAACATGTAATTTAATAACAAAAGGAAACTTTAAGACTTCAAAGAAAAATTTTAATCACGTTATTTATTTATTTATTTATTTATTTTTTGGGTCCGGTCGTGGGGCCTGAACTCTGGGCCTGGGCGCTGTCCCTCAGCTCTTCAGCTCAAGGTTAGCACTCTACCACTTGAGCCACAGCGCCACTTCCGGCTTTTTTCTTTTTGCTCATGTGGTGCTGAGGAATTGAACCCAGGGCCTCAGGCATGCAAGGCAAGCGCTCTACCACTGAGCCACCTTCCCAGCCCCTTAATCATGTTATTTAAATTTTATCTTAGTTCCTTATTTTGTTTCTCTTTGTGAAACATGTTTCATATATGGTTATATATAATTCCAGTAAAAGTTATGTTATAGTGCATTGTATAATAAGAGAGCTGAAAAGAGAACTAAGGGAGAGGAAAGCAATAGTCCACAGTGACTTTACCTTAGTTTCTAAGAAACACATTTTCAGAGGAGCTTTGCCAACTGGTTTCATAATCTGTCCAGTCTGAATATTGACCCGCAGATTCTTACCTTTGTTCTTTTTTTTTTTTTTAAATAGTGCTTAGATGGGTGTCGGCTCACATCTGTAATCCTCAGGAGGCTGAGATCTGAGTATTGCAGTTCAAGGCCAGCCTGATCAGGAAAGTCCAGGAGACTCTTATCTCCAATAAACCACCAGAAAACTGGAAGTGGTGCTGTGGCTTAAGTGGTAGAGCGCAAGCCTTAAGCTGAAGAGCTCAGGGACAGCGTCCAGGCCCAGTTCAAGCCCTATGACTGACTAAAAAATTATTTTTTGTTATTATAAAGATGATGTACAGAGGGGTTACAGCAATGGAAGTTAAGTAATGAGTACATGTATTTTTGGACAGTGTCACCCCTTCCCTTTCTCTCTCCCCATTTTTCTCTCCTGTCTCCAACCCCAAGTTAATCTTCATTCTTGGACAGGGTCTTTATGAAGGTCAGAAGCTCCCTTTGGTTTTTCCTCCAGAGCTCTTGGGATGCCATGTCATCTGTGTTTGGGTGGCCTCTTGCTTTTCAGACCCCTTCCCCACTGAATGTGTGTCAATAAACCTTTTCTCTTCAAGATGAGGTAACCTTGGTTTTCGTTGCCTCTCCTAGAAACTATCTTCCTGTCTCAGGCAATTTTCCTATCCTCTAGTTTTTGCTCTTTTTCCCTTGCTCACTGGTACTACTTATGTGTTGTGTGTCCATTACATTTTGCTCATGACAAGGACAAGGACAAGGCTTTTGTGCTGAAGTAATTCTCTTAAGTATGCTTTCTAAACAAGCAGCAGTGGCCTCTCCTGGGAGCCTGTTAGCAATGACCAGTGGCTCATGCCTATAATCCTAGCCACTCAGGAGGCTGGGATCTTTTCCAGGCAGGAAAGTCTGTGAGACTCATCTCTTGTTAACCACTAAAATGCCAGTTTAGTGGAGCTGTGACTCAAGTGGTAGAGTGTTAGCCTTGAGCAAGAAAGCTCAGGGACAGCTCCCAGACCCTGAGTTCAGCCCTTAGGATGGGCACTAAGAAGACCCCAAAATAACAACAACAAAATGTCAGATCTACTCCAGATCCACTGGGACAAAACTTCACGCATGATTGTGATGTACACTAATGTTTACAGTCACTGAAGTACTGCTGTTTTAGTCAGAGAACTTACACTGTCAGCTCTTGGCACTCATTCTCAAATCTTGGTATATACTGGCATAATAAAAAGATAATTTCTCAGGACTTGAAAATTTGAATTATGTGTTTGATTTTTCTGGGCATCGGTAGCTCTGCCACAGAATATTTAAAAGTTGATAATGCTTTTGGTTGGTTCATTGGTGTGGGTGTCGTTAGGAATTTTGTTGGCCATTTGACTCATCAACCAGATGAATGTGGTGAAGAGGAAGTATTACGTGGTTCTACCCCTCGCTAGCATTTTCTTGTTCTGATCTCTGGTGCCTCCCGCCTCCATCCACTACTACTGCAGTTGTTCCCATTGAATTAATCTGCCAGTTGGTGAGACTCACTGTGTGAATCAGCCCATGTTGGCACCACTCACTGAGCTGCCTTCTGCTGCTTACGGAGCAGATACAAGTCGGTGCCATGAGACAGTCAGTCTTCTCAGTTCTGTCTTATGTCCTTTAAATAACACATTTTCCTGAAGCCTTAAGTACATGTCTGGCAGTGAAATGAGGCTTAAATCATAATATGAAACAACAGAAGTTTTCCAAGGCTAGGGGTGTATCTCTGTGGTAGAATGCATGCTTAGTATACAAAGGGCCCTGGTTTTGATCACTAGTCATGCTGACAAAACCCCCTTCAAAAACAAAGAATATCCTTTCTGCTATGGGCTAGAAACTGATAACTTAAACACAAGACTTTAGGAATGTTAGTTATGCAAGGCTTTTGGAAATCAGAAATGAGAATGTTCTCAGTACTAGCTTTACTCAGGGAAGATGAGACAAATAGATGCTTTCAAAGGATTAATGATTTAGTGTGTCTTGAGTATTTCTGTGTCTCTTCTAGACCTTGAAAGGAAAGAACAAGAATTAGAGCAGCTGAAGTTGGACTTCGAACACTTCAAAGCCCGCCTGGAAACTGTGCAGGCCGACAGCGGGAAGGAGAGGAAGGTAGGGATCTTGGGATGAGCTCCAGCAGACGACCTACAGGCTCAACTTTGTCCTGAAAGTTGTGTTGGCCTGATGCTCTTTGCTCATGATGAGGAGTGGGTCTTAAATGTTCTCAGTCCTCAAGAGATGGTGATTTTATGTGTTTTCTGAGTGGGCTGAAGATAGGCAAACCTTTGGATTTTATAACCATTTAACATACAGAACATTAGCTTGGCGCCTTTTATTTATTTCGGTTCCTTTTGTACTAGTACTGACACTTGAATTCAGGATCTCAAGTTCTCAGTTGGCTTTTTTGTTCATGGCTGGCAGTCTACCATGTGAGCCATTCCTCAACTTCTGGCTTTTTGGTGGTTGATTGGAGATGCACTCTGATTTATTTGCTTGGGTTGACTTTGAGACATGATTCTCAGATCTGAGATCTGACTACTTAGTATTATAGGTGTGGGCCACCAGTGCCCAGTTCCGGCTGCTTTTTCATTTTTATATCTACACAACAGAAAGCTTAAGTGTGGTGCTGGTGACTCACACCTGTAGGCTGAGATCTGAGGATCTTGGTTCTAAGTCAGCCTGGGTAGGAAGGCCTGTGAGGTTCTTATCTCCAATTAACCACCAAAAAGCCTAGAAGTGGCGCTGTAGCTCAAGAAGTAGAGTGATAGCTTCGAGCAAAAAAGCCCAGAGACAGTGCCCAGACCCTAAGTTCAAGTCTCAGGACTAGCACCAAAAAAACCAAAAAATAAAACCATAAAGGCTCATAAGAATCTGGGGGAAATACTGTGAACATAATGACTAATAATTGATGATATAGCTATTAAACTAAAAGTTTATAATCAATTTGGACTGTTTACTAATATTCAAGAATAGCCAGTTATATTTTATTTTTCAGAGAGTATAATATTTCTTTAAAATATTTTTATGTTTTGAATAAATTATTTCTTTTATGACACTAGATCTTTTCTGCCACCTGAAAGTTTTGTGCTTATGTGTTTCTTTCAATGACAAAAACAGTAATAGCACTAATAATAACAGCCAGTAGATGTTGGCTCTGTCCTGTGCGCTGGCAAGGGGCACGCAGCTTGTTGACACCGGTGTGTCAACAAGCACTGTCATCAGACACAAGGTAAACCTGCCTATCCAAGCTCACACTGCTATCCTGTTCCTTTGTGTTTCATATCACCTCCTTATGTGAAGGAATTCTCCATGTGTGCAGCTGCAATAAAGGTATTCCTAAACAGGTAGATGTTGTACACATGCTGGATGTTTGAACTTTGAAGCCTTGCACTTGCTCATGGCTGGTGTTCTACCACTTGAGCCACACCTCCACCCTGTCCTTTTCTGGTTAATTGGAGATAGAATCCATAGACTTTTTCCGCTCAAGCTAGTTTTGAACTATTATCCTCTAGCTTTCAGCTTCCTGAGTAGTGAGGATTACAACAAGCATGTGAATCACTGGCCTGACTATACATATTTTAATATTGAGCAAGCAGAACAAAGTTGGAGAGAATTTCTAAAAAAACATTTCTTTGTTAGTTATTGTTATATTTCCATATGTGTTTATGCTGCATTCCAATCAGTCTCGCTATTACTGGAGGGAGTTTTATTCTTAAATGTGAGTTAGGCTGAGTACTACATAAAGTTGAAATTGTAGTTTTGCCAGATGAAAACAAACTAGAATGGTAATCTAATTTCAGATTGTCCATTTCATGGTCTGAATGAAGATGACCAAGAGGCAGGCAGGAATTTGATAAATGTGAAAATGCAACCAACTGATTATGTCCTTTGCTGACATATTTATTAAGGTTGAATTCTTTTTCCCCCTAAGTTAATTCAGTGATCAGAAGCTTTTTTAGTAGTTAATTGGAGATAAGAGTCTCACAGACCTTCCTGCCCAGGCTGGCTTTGAGCTACACTCCACTGCTGGTTTTCTGCTGGTTAATTGGATTTAAGAGTCTCTTGGACTCTCCTGCTCAGGCTGGCTTTGAACCATGATCCATCCTCAGATCTTAGCCTCTTGAGTAGCAAGGATTGTAGGCATGAGCCACTGGTGCCCGGTTTTTCTGGCTGGCTCTGAACTGCAGTCCTCAGGTCTCAGCCTCCTACATTGCTAGGGTAACAAGCGTGAGCCACTGGAGTCTGGTTTTGTCTTTCTCTTCCTTTAAAAAAATTCATAAATATAGGAAAGTGAATGTCTTGCAGAACTGTAGATATAATACTTGAGGATAATGTTATTCCAGGATAGGGAAGGTGCATGTCTATAATCTCAGGAGTCAGGAGACTGAGGCAGAATACTTTGAGGTGGAAATCAGCCTGGGCTCCATAGAGAGCTACATAGAAGGGCCCTATTCAAAAAAGAAAACCAACCAGCGTGGTGGCTCATGTTACTTGTAGTCCTAACTACTGAGGAGGCTGCAATGAAAACGATTCTGGCCATCCCAGGCAGAAAGTTCACAAAACCTCATCCCAATCAATAAAAATCTAGGTGCCGTGGTTGACATCTGTAGTCCCAGCTGTGGAGGAAGCATAAATAAATAGTTCAAGGTCCAGGTTTGTCCTGGGCCAGATGTGAAATCCTATTCAAAAACAATGGAAGCAAAAGGACTGGGATATGGCTCAAAATGGTAAAGTGTCACCTAATAAGTATGTGCCCTGACTTCAAGCTCCAGTACAGCAAGAGACCAAAAGTGATTCCAGCAAAGGCCAGTATCAGAGCATGAAATGACGATGATAAAGTAGCTTCAAATCCATAGGATATACTTGCCCTGGTATTTTAACCTTAGTTAAAAATGTAGGAACGTTTTAGCTATTTTTCCAACTCTAGTCAGGTTTCCTGCTAGTTTAATACCGATGGAAACCCCTCAGGATTGCTATAATAAGACTTCTCTCTGGCAGCTGTCTTTCCTATATCCTTGTCAGCCCTGTTCAGGGCTGTACAGACCATGAGGCAGGAGTCTGGAAGCTTATTATAGAGTTGAGGAACCAGGAAAGAATCCAGGGACTGTGATCCTAAATTAGGATATTGCCAGTAAGTACTTGAATATGCACAAAAATCATTAGGAAAAGGCAGAGTGTGTGAGGAGAGGCCAGACACAAAGCGTGGAGTGGAGGCAATGAAGAAGTGTGCTGTGGATGCCCGAGCAGTGCTCTGTTCTTTGCTCAGCCCTCATGGAATTCTTTCCTTCTTTCCTGGTGTAGCCGTTTTGGTAGATCAGTGGACTAGGCAAGTGGAAAGTGGATATGCTCGTGATGTGGATAGGCTGCTCAGAGAAGTCCTGTCCCTAGCAGCCTTTGACCTCCAGAGAAGAAGGACCCTAGCTTGATGGGCATAGAAACTGCTGGAGAGCCAATGTATGCCTTGGGAGGGACTACGCTGCCACTTTAAGATTTGAAACCGTGCTTCACCAAGTATTCACTCCAGAAGCCTCCTAAGTGCTCCCCTGGTGTGTGAGCTCTTCATCTTGTGATAAGTCCATGACAGAACAACTTAAAAGGAGGAAAGATCATTGTGGTCCCCACTCCCACCCTTCTTTATGCCCAGTTAGGTACTCAGGTTTCAAACCCTGGATTCAATAAAGCTGTGGATCTCAGTCTCCCCATCAAGAAACAGACCGATTTGGCTGGTGGTCTCAGTGGCATCCACCCACGGCAGCCGCTCTGATCATGGATCTGTGATGAGGAGGGACACCCTGTGGCAAGCATAGGTGCCGGAGCAAAGTTGCTCACCTCCCGGTGGCCAGGGAGCAGAGACAGAAAAAGAGCGTGCCTCGCTGAGCAGACTCCCTCCTCCCTCTTATTCTATACTCCTGGCTGGCTCTGTTCAGTGCCTGTGCTCTTCCTTGGCAGGTGTCCATGTTTCCGGCATCTCTAGTGTCCTGCAGTCTCCACTGCATCTTCAGCTTTCCTCTCAGCCTCACTCATCACTCTCTTAGGGGTTGCTTGTAGGGTCTCTGATCCTGTCACTTACTGCCTGGCTTCCTTGGCTTTGATCTGAAATCTGAGTGGAAGCTCCATGACCCCATAACATTTGCCTTCTTCCTGCTTGCAAAACTAGCACCATGTGGAGGATCCCCAGGTCTGTTGCTCCTGGCTTGAGCCAGCCAGGCCCCTGGCACTGCAGCTTCATTGGTCTCTAAGTGCCTGAGCAGCTGAGCATAGTGGAATGAATCCCAGGGCAACATCCCCGGTAGTCTTGTGAGCCTCCTCCTCCTCCTGTCATGGTGGGCTTGAACTCTGGGTCTGGGCACTCAAGACTCACAGCTCAAGGCTAGAGCTTTACCACTTGAGCCACAGCACCACTTCCGGTTTTCTGGTGGTTAATTGGAGATGAGAGTCTCACGGGCTTTCCTGTCCGGGCTGGCTTTGAACTGAGATCTTCAGATCTCAGCCTCCTGAGTAGCTAGGATTACAGGCGTGAGCCACTGGCACCCAGCCCTGTTCCTCTTCTTAAGGGACAATCATTCAAATGAGCTACCACGGGCCATGGTGGGGTTTCCTCTTTCTTTCTTTCTTTGTTTGTTTGTTTCTCTCTCTTTCTTTCCTTCCTTCCTTCCTTCCTTCCTTTCTTTCTTTCTTTCTTCTCATTGTTATTATTAAGAAGTTGGACAAAGGGGTTATAATTTCCTAAGTCAGATTATGTGAGTACAATGCTGCTTGGACAATGTTACCCCTTCTTTTGGTTTTTCCCATTTTCCCTTCCTGTCCCTACCCATAAGTCACCTAGTTCATGTTTTACATTATATATATATATATATATATATATATATTACAATGATTGCATTTGCTTACCCTTCCTCTCTCCATTCCTGTGCCCCTCTCTGTCTGTCCCCCCGCAAATGTTTCCATTTGGTGTTTGTTCCATCGTGGTGTTCATCTTGATAAATAGTACTTTAGTTGTTCAGAGGAGTTTCACCTTTGCGTTCCTTCCCTACGTATAACCTTTTAAAATAACTTTGTGGGGCTGGGAAGGTGGCTCAGTGGTGGAGCTCTTGCTTGCATGCATGAGGCCCTGGGTTTGATTCCTCAGCACCACATAAGCAGGAAAAAAAAGCCAGAAGTGGTGCTGTGGTTCAAGTGGTAGAGCGCTAGCCTTGAGCTGAAGAGCTGAGGGACAGCGCCCAGGACCAGAGTTCAGGCCCTATGACCGGACCCCCCAAAAAAAAATCAGTTTGTGTATAAATGCATGGAGCCCTGTATATGATATTATGCCTGGTTGCATTTTAGATCTAGCTTCCATATGTGAGAGAAAACATGCACTGCTTGTTGCTCTGGGCCTGGCTTACTTACTGTGTTTTGTTCTAGGTTCATCCATTTTCCTGCAAATGACATAATATTTCTCTTGCTAATGGAGGAGTATAATTCCATTGTATATAAGAACTACATTTTTGGGATTCACTTCTCTATTGTAGGTCATCTGTCTCCATAACTTGGCTATTGTGATAGTGCAGCAACGAACGTGGGTGTGCCAATGTCTTGACCATATCCTGACTTATAATGCTCTGGGTAGATGCCTAAGAGGCTTCTGTGATTCTCAAGTGTCCCCTAGGCATATTTCCTGATGTTCTGGTACAAAGTACTTGGCATCCTTTTAATGGATGTAATCTTTTTCCCTCAGTCCCAGCTTTATATATTCTTCTTTTCTGGACAAACTTCAAGGTTTTGGACTGGGAAGGTGGCTCAGTGGTAGAGTGCTTGCCTTGCATGCATGAGGCAGGCCCTTGGTTCGATTCCTCAGCGCCACATAGCAGAAAAAGCCAAAAGTGGCACTGTGACTCCAGTGGTAGAGCGCTAGCCTTGAGCTAAGAGCTGAGGGACAGTGCCCAGGCCCAGAGTTCAGGCCCCACGACTGACAAAAAATGAAACAAAACAAAAAACCCCCAAAACTTCAAGGCTTTCAAGTTCCCTACCCCTTCACTGGTGCTTGAACTCAGAGCTTTTTGTTCTTACTCATGGCTGGTGCTCTACCACCTGAGCCATGACTTCATTTCTGGCTTCCTTCTGTTTCATTGGAGATAGAAGTCTTATAAATTTGTCATCCCAAGGTTTGTTCCAATCCTTGATTCTCAGATCTCAGGCTCCTCAGTAGCTGGTTTTCATGTCTTTCTGTTCTACTTTTTGTGTTAGATTTTTTTTTCTGTAAATCTGGCTGAAAGCAGCCAGGAAAACCAGTGCCACAGCCTGAATGCTGGGCTGCCTTGAAATTTCTTCAGCCAGATTAATTAATCCATTGCCTTTAAACTCAGTTTCACACAAAGTCTTAATTCCCAATAGTGTCCTTTTGCCTATCTTTTTTTTTTTTTTTTTTTGGTCGGTCATGGGGCTTGAACTCTGGGCCTGGGCACTGTCTCTGAGCTCTTCAGCTCTACCACTTGAGCCACAGTGCCACTTCCTGTTTTCTGGTGACTAGAGATAAGAGTCTCATGGACTTTCCTGCCCTGTCTGGTTTTGAGCTGAGATCCTCAGATCTCAGCTTCCTGAGTAGCTAGGATTACAGGTGTGAGCCGCCAGTGCTGGGCTTGAGCATAATCTTATTCCAATTTTTTTTCCAATTTTTTTTTGGTCGGTGATGGGGCTTGAACTCTGGGCCTGGGTGCTATCCCTCAGCAATTCAGATGAGCATAATCTTTACTGTCATATTTTTACTTTTATATTTTTAATTTGAAAGGGAAGAGTTGTCATTTTTATGATAATAAAAGGAAAGTTGCAGTAAACATTGATACAAAATTTCAAGAAACTTGTTTTGTATTTTTGCTGCTTCTAGGGTTTGAAATCAGGGCCTGAACATTGCCTCTGAGATTTTTGCTTAGCAGTGCTTGAGCCACACCTCCACTTCTGCCTTTTTTGGTGGTTAATTGGAGATAAGAATCTGATGGAGTTTCCTGCTAGGGCTGGCTTTTGAATGTCAATCCTCAGACTCAGCCTTCTGGGTAGCTACCCAGCTGCAAGCAAGAATTGCATAAGGAAATACTGTGATAGAATTTTTTAAAAAACAGGCTTTAGAAACAATTTCATGTCTTTTAAAGCTATTTAGAAATAGCTACCTAGGATTTCTAGTCTACCTAGGATTTCTCCTACAATACTTCTTTACTTATGTCCTACCCTGTGTCTGCCCCTGTTATTCAGTGTCAGTAAGGTAATGAGTACATTTCTTTTTTTTTGGTCGGTCGTGGGGCCTGAACTCTGGGCCTGGGCACTGTCCCTCAGCTCTTCAGCTCAAGGCTAGAACCCTACCACTTGAGCCATAGCCTCACTTCCAGCTTTTTCTGCCTATGTGGTGCCGAGGAATCGAATCCAGGGCCTCATGCATGCAAGGCAAGCGCTCTACCACTGAGCCACCTTCCCAGCCCGATGAGTATATTTCTTGTTGAGCATTGTTACCCCTCCTTTGTTTTTCTCCTACTGTCACACCTCTCCCACTTCTCCCCCCCCCCATGGAATTTACTTTTTCTGTAAGAGTTATGATTTTTTAGTAAGTTTTTTATTGTGAAAATACCGTACAGAGGGACTACAATTACACAAGCAAGGTAATGGGTGCATTTCTTATCAGGCGTTGTTGCCTTATCCTTTTTGTTTTTCTCCTACCATCCCTGCCCTCCCATCTCCATCACTACACCCCTCCCCAAAGTTGTAAAGCTCGTTTTTGACATAGCATCTTGTACATCTCATTGTTGCAATGGGTCCACCTGTATCCCTATTTAAACAATTTGTTTTTACCCTTCCCCTCCCCAAATTATACCAATATCAAATACAGTGAAAAACAGGGGTTATACCATGGGAAAAGAGTTTTTAAGAACTAGTTTTTATTTGCAGCTGTTTTCTGTAATTCTGTAAACAGTTCTTCTTTAGAAAATGTCTTTATAATAGAGCAAATCTAGCAGATATTTTGAGGTTGAATGCTACTGTCTGTTTTCCTGATTTTCTTTTTAATTATTGTTAATGAATTTAGGAGAAGCTGGCTCTTCGACAACAGCTGATTGAAGCCAAACAGCAGCTCCTACAACAGGCCGAGTATTGTACAGAAATGGGAGCGGCCGCCTGCACCCTCCTGTGGGGTGTCTCCAGCAGCGAGGAAGTTGTCAAGGCCATCCTGGCTGGAGTAAGTGTGACCAGTGGCTCGCTGGATGCTGTCTAGTGTGCTTAAGGAGACGTTCTGTCTCCTAAGGCCTCTAGAGACTGCTACCCCTTGGGTTTTAGTTCACTTATTAGACTGTCATCAAATGCCTCCTGTGGTCACCTAACCTGGTGCTCTGAGGATATGTAAAATGAATGGAATGAAATATTGTCACCTTTTCCCTAGCATTCATGGCTATTTGTTGATATATTAACCCCTTCAGTGATAACTTTATTTGTAAAGAGTGTGATGAAGTTTAAAGTGCTTATATATATATTATCTCTTGGGAAATTAATATTTATTGTATGTTTTGATTGGTCATGGAACTTGAACTCAGGACGTGGGCCCTGTCCTTGAGCTTTTATGCTTTACCACTTTGAGCCTTAGCTCTACTTCCGGTTTGTAGGTTGTTCATTGGAGATTAAGAGTCTCATGGCCTTTCCCTCACAGGCTAGTGTCAAGCTGAAATCCTCAGATCTCAGCCTCCTGAGTAGCTAGGATTATAGGCATGAGCTATACCAGTGCCTAACTTGTGCAGGTTATTTTTGAGATAGGGTCTCACTTCCTGGGTGTGTGCCTGGACTGTGATCTGCCCAGTTTGGCTTCCCATAATAGTCATGAAGACAGACTCTTGCCATCAAGTCCAGCTTTTTCCTGTGTGCTAGGGTCTGCTTGGGCTGTCCTTGAACTGTGATTCTACATTTCTCAGCCTCCCAAGTAGCCAGGATGAGAGGGGTAAACACAGTACCCACGTTCAGTGAGAACTTTTACTATGGAGGAAGAGATTTAAAAATACTACTTCTGTAATTAAACCAAAATCAGTCTTGTTGTATGTCTTGGAGTTTTTTTTTTTTTTTGTCCATTGTGGGGCTTGGACTCTGGGCCTGGGCTCTGTCCCTGAGCTCTTCAGCTTGAGCCATAGCGCCACTTTGGTTTTCTGGTAGTTAAGTAGAGATAAGAATCTCATGGATGTTCCTGCCCTGGCTGGCTTTGAACAGCAATCCTCAGAAGTCACCTCCTGAGTAGATTATAGGTGCTAGCCACTGGCACCTGGCACTTCTGGTTTTTTTTTTTTTTTAATGCCAGTATTGGGGCTTGAACTTAGGGCCTTAGGCACTGCTCCTGAATGTTTTCTCTCAAGGCTGGCACTTTGGCACTTGAGACACAGGTCCTCTTCTAGCTTTTTTTTTTTTAATGGTTAATTGAAAATTAGAGTGTGACAGACTTTCCTCTCCATGTTGGCTTTGAACTGTAATCCTTCTTAGGTACAGGATTATTTGTATCCTGAACTTCTTCAATGTTTTTACATTGGTATCTGTGAAAAAGTATGACACAGTATCAATCTTTTTGACAGGAAAAGGCTCTGAAGTTCTTCAGAATCACCGGTCAGACAATGGAGAGTTTTGTGAAGTCACTGGATGGCGATGTTAAAGAGCTGGATTCTGACGAAAATCAGTTTGTTTTTGCACTGGCTGGAATTGTAACAAGTAAGTTATTATTTTCAAATGTAGTGACTTTTGCATGGTTTCGTAGTTACAGTTCCGTGTGTGAAGACGGCTCTAGGGAATGCTCTGGATACCCATGCTGAGCCTGTGCCCTGGAGACGGGCTGCAGAGGTGAGATTGATAGCTGTGTGTGAGATAAGAGTCTCTTGGGCTTTCCTGTCCGGGCTGGCTTTGGACGCGATCCCCAGATTGCAGCCTCCTAAGTAGCTAGGGTTAAAGGTGTGAGCCACCAGCAAACTGCTGGTGTTTGTTCATTTGTTTTTCCTCTTGCCAGTTCTGGGGCTTGAACTCAGGGCCCGGGCACTTTCTCTGAGCTGCTGCTGCTGCTTCTTTTTTTTTTTTGGTTGGTCGTGGGGCTTGAGCTCTGGGCCTAGGCGCTGTCCCTCAGCTCTTCAGCTCAAGGCCAGTGCTCTACCACTTGAGCCACAGTGCCACTTCTGGTTTTCTGGTGGTTAATTGGAATAAGTCTTACGGCCTTTCCTGCCCAGGCTGGCTTTGAACTGCAATCTTCAGAGCTCAGGCTCTTGAGTAGCTAGGATTATAGGCATGAGCTACCGGCACTCCTGGATAAAGCTCATCTTAACAGAAAATTAAGCTAATCTTTGTCATTGTATGGTGAATGATAACCAAGTCAATTTTTCAGGCCAAGATATCAAAATTAAAGTCCCTATGATATAAAACAAATAAGAACAAATATTGGCAGGTTGACAACTGGTTCTCTCTGTGTAGGAGTTGATTTGCACTCATTTAAAATTATAGTTTGGATTTTAGTTACTGCTACTTAGTGAATGGTACCATGGCATTTTTCGTAATAGTAGCAGATCTATGATGCAAGACCTCATTGCCTAATAATTTTCTGTACTGGGGGCATGTTGCCTGCTATGGACAGTATGGGTTAGCTCACAAGTCTGCAGTTGGACAAGAACTTGGGAGGCAACTTGCTGCTGTCCTGCAGCACCTGTGGTGGCCTCCGTGGGGAGGACCACAAGTGTGAGGGACGGAACAGCCTGGGGGCAGGAGGAGCACCAGAGTTGTGAGGAATAGAACAGCTGCAGGAGGAGCACCAGAGTTGTGAGGGGTAGAACTGCTGCAGGAGCACCTCATTGTGAGGGATAGAACTGCTGCAGGAGCACCTCATTGTGAGGGGTAGAACAGCTTCAGGAGCACCTCACTGTGAGGGGTAGAACAGCTTCAGGAGCACCTCATTGTGAGGAATAGAACTGCTGCAGGAGCACCTCATTGTGAGGAATAGAACTGCTGCAGGAGCACCTCATTGTGAGGGGTAGAACTGCTGCAGGAGCACCTCATTGTGAGGGATAGAACTGCTGCAGGAGCACCTCATTGTGAGGGGTAGAACTGCTGCAGGAGGAGCACCAGAGTTGTGAGGAATAGAACAGCTTCAGGAGCACCTCATTGTGAGGGGTAGAAGAGCTGCAGGAGCACCTCATTGTGAGGGGTAGAACAGCTGTAGGAGCACCTCATTGTGAGGGATAGAACAGCTGCAGGAGCACCTCATTGTGAGGGGTAGAACTGCTGCAGGAGCACCTCATTGTGAGGGGTAGAACTGCTGCAGGAGCACCTCATTGTGAGGGGTAGAAGAGCTGCAGGAGCACCTCATTGTGAGGGGTAGAAGAGCTGCAGGAGCACCTCATTGTGAGGGGTAGAAGAGCTGCAGGAGCACCTCATTGTGAGGGGTAGAAGAGCTGCAGGAGCACCTCATTGTGAGGGATAGAACTGCTGCAGGAGCACCTCATTGTGAGGGGTAGAACTGCTGCAGGAGCACCTCATTGTGAGGGGTAGAACTGCTGCAGGAGCACCTCATTGTGAGGGATAGAACTGCTGCAGGAGCACCTCATTGTGAGGGGTAGAACTGCTGCAGGAGCACCTCATTGTGAGGGGTAGAACTGCTGCAGGAGCACCTCATTGTGAGGGGTAGAACTGCTGCAGGAGCACCTCATTGTGAGGGGTAGAACTGCTGCAGGAGCACCTCATTGTGAGGGGTAGAAGAGCTGAGACTTGGCAGCTATCTCTCTCTGTCTCCTTGTATAGTCTCATGGCTTCATCCTGTCTCTTTCATCTCCAGGAAATTCAGGGCTGGTGGAAGTGTGGTAAGGGGACAGGATGGAAGTGAATGTAGGCTTCTTCCTATCTCACAGGTGACATAGGATGTCAGTTTTGCTGCGGTTACCAGTTACAAGTGAGTTGCAGTGCAGGAGATAGTATGGGAGTCTGCATGGATAGCATGTCTTACTGGGAACCGTCTACCAGATCCCAGGTAGCTGATGTTTCCTACTGGGGCCCAGTGGGCGATGTGCTTTGGTTACCTAAGCACTGCTTTCCCCTACAAGATGCCACAGGCACCTTCCATGTGCTCATGATGCTAAAAGCTTAACTGTGTCACCTCCCCCCCCCCAAATATTTCGGTAGTGAAAGCGGTGTGTGTCATTTGCTAGAGAGTATAGTTCCAGGTCGAAATTCATTAAGCAAAGAAGATACATTTTGTTAAGGAAGGGTCATGTCACAAAATTATGTTCCAAATGATATATAGCACCAGTTAAGAAGTAAAAATGCTAGAGAGGTAAGTAGAAATAGGAAAAAGTCCATTAGTGTTAGGAGGCTTTTAATATACCTCACTTGCTTAATTACAGCTTAGGTCAACAAAGATAAGCAGGGATACAAAGGGCATGATTCCATGAAGTTGATCAGGTAGCACTGATGAAATTTTATGTTCTGCAGTAAGATAGCAAGTACAAAATGAGTATAAAAATTCTCTCTGATTTTGGTAATTGTTAGCAAATTAAAGATAAACTGTCCATTAGAAACAGGTCAGACATTATATTTAGTGGTGGATTTCCAGAAGCATTTCCATTGAAGTCAGGAAAAAGACAAGGATGCTGCTGCCAGCCTCACTTCCACCTTGCCCTACTTGTTTGATAATCCTTAAACCACTTTGGATTATGCTTCTTTCAGCCCTAACTGGAGAAAAGGGTCAAGAAAGCACATCTATGTTCTTGGGTTGCTGATGTTCCTTACAGGTGTTGAGGTGTTGATAGAGCACCATCCGCTGAGCACCAGATGGATGCCTTGCTCTGTGCACATGCTGGTTTGCAGGTCCCATGTATGAAGAAGCCATTTGCTGATCACAGTACATTATGGTAACATTTGGGGGGAAAAAGTCCTTTCAGAGTAAGCTTTCCTACCCTGCCTTTGACCTCATATGCTTTCAGTTTCATGTCATAGTTAAGTTACTACCCAGCTGGCTCATACCTAGAATCCCAGCTATGAAAGAGGCCTGAGGTCTGAGGATCAAGGTTCAGAGCCAGCTCAGGCTCACCATCAGAAAACTGGAAGTAGAGCTGTGGCTCAAAGTGGTAGAGCACTAGTCTTGAGCTCAAAAGCTCAGGGACAGCACCCAGGCCCTGAGTTCAAGCCCCATGACTGACCAAATAAAAGTTACTAGCCAGTACTGGCAGAATTGAGAGTATGCTCACTCCCAGGCCAGGCCACCAGCCCCGACTTCTGCTTGGGCTAGATGGAGGCCATCCAGTGCTCTGGGGCCTGGGGCCATAGCTCAGGACACCCTTCCCCTCCCCTCCCCTTATCGTAGTTCCTATGGTGATCAAGAACAATACAGCTTTTTAGTGATCAGTTGTTGATATTTTCCTTAGGAGAAAACCAGTGCTACATACTCGATCCTGAAGAGAATTTTCCATATTGTGCAGCCCCCCACAGTCTTGACGCTTTGTCTCATGTCTGTTGCAGATGTTGCTGCCATAGCATGCGGTCGTGAATTCCTGGTTAATTCTAGTCGGGTGCTCCTGGACACCATGTTACAGCTGCTGGGGGACTTGAAGCCAGGACAGTGCACCAAACTCAAAGTGTATGTGCCTAACAGCTACCAGTTCTCAGTGGTATACAAAGGGCTTTGCCCACTAGGCTTCACTATTTCTAAAAAAAAGAAAAAACACATCTGTTGGAGAGGTTAAGGATGCACTATCTGTTTGGTGGAATTTAATTTAGTTTTAAACAGGGTCTGGCTTTGTAGCCCAGACTGACCTGGTGCTGACTGTATATTCCAGATTGGCCTTACACTCATGATCCTCCTATCTACCTCCCAATGGCGGGGTTAATAGTAGTTTAGAAAAATATGCTGGAAATGTAACTCAAGTGGTAGAGCACTTGCCTAGCAAATGAGATGTCCTGGGTTCAATCTAGTACAGTTAGAAAAAAATGAGCAGGATGTGGTAGTATACTTCTATATAACCCCAGCACTCAGGAAACTGAGGTGGGGGGATTGAGAGTTTGAGACCAGTCCAGGCTACACCTCAGGGCCCGGTCTCAAAGCCAAAAAAGAGGAAAAAGAGAGAGAGAAAGAGATTGGGGGGGGAGGGAGGAGAGGAGCCCTGTCCCAAAGCCAAAAAAGAGAGAGAGACAGAGAGACAGAGAGAGACAGACACCCACACTCACACACAGAGCGGAGAAGAGGACAAGAGAGCAGAGGAGAGGAGAAGAAATTAAGAAAAAATGTTCTCACTTTAGAATAATCATGAGTCCCAGCTCTAGAGTCGTATGTGATGCCTTAGGGTTCTAGCACTGGTGGTCTCATTAACCCCAGAAGGTGTCTGTTCCTACAGTGCTCCACTCCTAGACAGCAGATGTCATGGAGCAAGTTAGAACACAAGTTAGGACATTTGTCATCCCACAGTGCTGTGGGTTAGAAGTCTGAGTGGGCTTGAATGGTGTCTCTGTTTGGGTCACACAGGCCAAGCTCAGGGAAATGCCAGGCTGGGCTTTTCTAGCCCATACTTTCAGCACATACTTTCCCACACAGCTGAGTGGGACCCTTCTCGCATGGCTTTCTTTCTGAAGCTTCCTTGCTCACGGAGTCCTCCAGTTACATGGAGTCTCTCAGCGGTCCTCGTCGGCCGCCAGCCCCGCCCAAGGACATGTGATTAGATTAGCCGTACCTGCATAAACCCATTTTAATCAACTCAGAGCTCTGATGAGTAACCTTAATGTCGTTGCAGAACCCCTTTGCCAGGCAATTTAACACAATCAAGATGCGATGTATTTATAGTTACAGGGATTAGGGCAGGAAATCTTTTTAATTTTCCTTTTTTGGAAGTCCTAGGAATAGAACCCAGGGCCTCCCACAGGTAGGTAAGCACTCTACCGCTTAGCCACAGCCCTCAGGCTGTAGGGTGTTTTTGTATGGTTCTTGTCACACCATTCATTCAGAGCTTTTCCTTATCAGAGCATTGTTTTTTGCTGTAATCTCTTAAATAGAAGCCAACCAGGCACTGGTGTCTTAACTGTAATCCTACCTACTCAGAAAGCAGAGATCCGAGAATCGTGGGGTTAAAGCCGGCTTGGCCACAGAAGAATTCTATGAGTTTCTTACCTCCAATTAAGCCCCCCCCCCCCCGAAAAAAAAAAAAAAGGGAAGTAGAGGTGTGCCTCAAGTGACAGAGCACCAGTCTTGAGTGAAAAAGCCAAGTCTGAGATCCTGTGTTCAAGCTGCAGTACCATACCCTTGAGTGCATGCATGTGTGCGCGTGCAGACACACACATACTAAATCAGATCAAATTAACGCCATATACTTTCAGCATCTCTATTATCCTGGCTTTAGTGTCTTTTGACTTTCTTTTTCTGCAAGAGTTAAGATTTTTCTTACTTCTTTCTTACTCAAGTAACTGGTTAATCCTGACATTTGGCCATTGTCTTTGAATTCAGCCTTGTTTAAACCAACAGCCAGCCTGGCTGGGCTTGAGTCACAAGTTCCAGTGAAATCCTTTTTTGTGTTGTGTTTCAGTGTCAATCCTGTTGGCAAAAATGTCTCCATCTGGATCTTTGCCCATGCTGTTGGGTGGATATGCCCTCATGTGTCCCCACATGCCATCTTGGTTGTCTGTGTGAGGCTCAGGTGATCGACCCTCTTCTCAGGACTGTTTATGAGGAGGTACCCATATGGCCAGCGTGGAATGAGGCTGAGCGTTGGCACACAGCTCTGCAGGCTCACTTAGCCAAGCTCTTACCTCTCCCCTGTTCCTCCAATATGCCACAGTTCCCTAGGACTCCATTTTCTCACCCCTACCTAGAGTCCTGTTGCAGCTTCTGGTCTTACTTTGCCCACAGCTACCCAGCAAGGGAGTTCAGAGGCTCACTGACCTCTCTGGGCAGGAAATGCCCAGTGCCCTCCAGATGTCTCAGTTGTCTGGGTTCCCGTGGCCACCACAGCTGCCAGAAGACCCCTTGTTTCCTGCAAGCCTTCCGCCCTCTTTGTGGACAGTGCTGCTACTGGGCATAGGTCTCCAGGAGCCCAGGCTGGTGGGAGCTCGGGGTACTGATCCTTCAAACTGTTCTGCTCCCCCAGTGAGTGCTGCTGTTTATAGAGGCCTCAGGTAGCTGTTGTATGTATTCAGATCAGAATCTATAGCTGTACTCATTGGAAGCAAGAGGTGGGTGTATTTATGTTGTCCTGTCCAGATCAGATTCTAGTCTGTTCTACAATTTTGTGCTAACACATCTATACATGTGAGCAACTACATGTATATGTGTGTATATATAGATATACTGTAATATGACATACATGTATGTCTAATCTTTTAGTTGTAATTTTATGAATCTAGTTTATGTCTTTCTTGTATCACATCACAGCAAAAATACATTTGGGTTGTCCTTTCCCTTCCTTGTATTTAGTTTCTTTTTCAGATTCTAATGATGGATAGTCTACATTAAACATCGTTGGCAAATAGTTCCTTGCTAACCTGTGTGAAAAGTCCTGTAGAAGTTTTCTTAAAGTGGAATATTTGAGAAGTAGGACATGGGCAAGTAGGAATTGTATCTAGGCTTTATTAGATACAAAGTATACAACGTTCTGTTTTTTGTGTTCTTGTCAGCATCTCATTATTATATACTTTTTTGTTTGTTTGTTTGGTTGGTTTTTTTTTTGGGTCCGGTCGTGGGGCCTGAACTCTGGGCCTGGGCGCTGTCCCTCAGCAATTCAGCTCAAGGCTAGCGCTCTACCACTTGAGCCACAGCGCCACTTCTGGCTTTTTTCTTTTTTGCTTATGTGGTGCTGAGGAATCAAACCCAGGGCCTCAGGCATGCAAGGCAAGCGCTCTACCACTGAGCCACCTTCCCAGCCCTCATTATTCTATAAAAAGTATTTGCATCATCCATTAATCATCCACTTTCCTCTTCCTGATTTTATTCTTTTTTTTTTTACAATCTTATAAGTAGCCTGTTCATTTTTTTCTTTTTCTGTTGTACTGTGTTCTCACATGATGTGCTATAGTTCTTTGTATATGTTGTAGATGAAAATCAATTACCTGCTTTGCTTTTGTGGTCTACACAAGCATTTATGGACTAGCTTATCCCTCTTCTAGCTTCAAAGCAAGGTTGTGTGTAAAGGCTGGGTCTCCACCAGCCATGGAACCTCCAGAGCTGATAGCAGTGGAGTTCGAGAAATTGCTTGAAGAGCCCTTGGCTTCCTCTCTCAGCAGCCTTCCAATTGTTAACCTCTAACCCACTTGGGACTAGAGTACCCCACATAAGAAATGTCTGGGCCGTGTCTGGACTTCTACCCTGCCTTTGTGATTGCAGAGAGAGCACTAAGCCAGTCAGCTGGGCGCTGGTGGCTCACGCCTGTCATCCTAGCTACTCAGGCTGAGATCTGAGGATCACAGTTCAAAGCCAGTCGGGGCAGGAAAGTCCATGAGACTCTTATCTCCAATTAACCAGCAGAAAACCAGAAATAGTGCTGTGACTTAAGGTGGTAGAGCACTATCCTTGAGCAAAAGAGCTCAGGGATAGTGCCCAGGCCCTGAGTTCGAGCCCCATGACTGACAAAAAAAATTGGCTCATTTTTAGTCTTTGGGAGGATAGAGAATCTCTGTTCTTGAAGATGCTGGTATAGCTTTGTTTTTTGGGGATTGGGAATTGCCTTTGACTTTGAGAATGCCCCTGGAGAGGTGGGGGGAGAAGAGAGACCCTGTCTTAACGTATTGTGCTTTGTGAAGCTCTCGGTCACAAAGTGCGCACTCTGTGATTACTCTCCGGGCAAGCCAAAGAGCTTGGTTTTGACAGACTAAGCTTAGTAGGAAAACCAGACATTGTAACACACAATGAGGTTTTTTTGTGTACATATGCTTGTGTCATATTTTTAATTAGTCCTTAATTAATGGGATTGAGTAGTATTCATTATTTTCTCTTGTTCTAGGATCCAGTATGTTTTAGCATGGCACTGTTACTGATCAGTTTTTATTCAAAATATTTTGGTAATGCTTATAGACTTTTTGCATTAGTTTTGATTTTTTTTTTTTTTTTTTTTGGTTGTGGGGCCTGAACTCTAGGTCTGGGCGCTGTCCTTCAGCTCTTCAGCTCAGGGCTAGCGCTCTACCACTTGAGCCACAGCACCACTTCCAGCTTTTTCTGCTTATGTAGTGCTGAGAAATTGAACCCAGGGCCTCATATATGCAAGGCAAGCACTCCACCACTGAGTCACCTTCCCAGCCCCTAGTTTTGATTTTTAAAAAATATTGAATTATAATACTTAAAAAGTCATTGTCATTGAGCCTTTTGGCAAGCCCTTAACTCTGTGTTCTTCTCCTTGCACTAGCGGTCACTGCCAGTTGAGTAGTTGCTAGTCTCTGCACTGGATGCTGCAGAGGCTGCACTGTGTGAGACCCCAGGATCCGCTGTCTTCCCTGAAGAGAGCATCACTGTGCTCACCATGGCAGGCAGCAGCTGTTGGCTTTGCCTGGCTCAGTGCTGGCTCCACTGCCAGCAGCTCTCTTATCAGTGGTTCTGCAATTCTGAGGCTGGCTACAAACTCTCTTTTCTCTTTTTGGTCATGGGGCTTGAACTCTGGGCCTGGG